TTTTCCTTGCTTTATTTAAAGTTTTATAAAGGCAGGTTGTTTTCAATGCTTGCTAATATACATGAACAAAAACATGCATCAAACATTTCTTTACACATGCACCTGTCTGCTCTGCTCATATCAAAAGGTTTTTGCAATACAATCATGTCTAATATTGTAATGTTTGATGTCTTGATAAAGCTATGTTCCTACTCACGAGAGGATTTAAAATTATAATGAACTGGTATAAAATGCAACAACAACTTGTCATGTGAGTTATTTATTGTTGCAGTGCGCTTTTCTTTTGGGGTTATACATTCTTTTCTGTAATGAAATCAGCTATTTAAATAGCGCTTGTTTTAAAATGGACTTTAAATGTATTAACATTCAATCAATATACTATTTACTTTAGACTTTTTTTGAAAATCCTAACATTGATGAAATAACTGTTTCACTTCCTCCACCCACTTACTGTACAGCAAATTAAAACAACATTTTTTTATTTCACAATGTAGGTAGCCTTTGATTTATGACCACAACTGAGTCCAAAATTTCTATTGCAAAGTGAGAGTTATAAAGTGAATTTTGCCTCTTTTCATGACCTTTCTTGCCACAGTTGTTAAGTGAATCACAGCTGTTGTTAAGTTAGTAACATGGTTACTAACATTGTTAAATGAATAGGGCTTCACCATTGACTGTCAGCTTTGGATGCCATATTGAGATCCAATGCTCCCATGCTGCCACAATTGAGCCTGGGAAAGTGGGAGGGAGGAAATCTTTGGAGTATATCTAGTTAGACATAATAAAATTCTTTTGCTGATTCAAGGTCAGGTAATGTTGCACACAGTGAAAAGGAAGTCTTACTTTGGGACAGGTGGTGATTGAGTTATGTGATGTGGTGATGGGTATAGGGGATGGATTTGTAGTTTTTACTTATTGCAAGGAAGCTCGGAACTTCAAATTCGGGATTCCACAGATGTGCCAGTTACTATCCAAATAAAAGGAACTTTTGAGAGATGTCTGTCTTGGAGTTATTGGTTGGAATGGACGTTTGCTAGAATGCTGACATAGAATAGAATAGAATAGAATAGAATAGAATAGAATAGAATAGAAT